CAAAGAATAAGTAATATTTTATTAAATTATTTTAAAAAGAAAGATATCATGATTCCATTTTTCAAAATGACAAAGTAGCAGAATTTCAGCTTTTATTTTAGCTGTTAAATGTGTTCCTTTTAAATTTTTATGATAAAAATATAAAACATAATTACTTAGATATAATAATGTTTTATTCAATATATTTAAAAAATAAGGACAAGTAAAGTTTTAAAAAATTGTCATCAAAAATCTCATCCATGATATTTGAAAATAGTACCCTAAATAAAAGAGCAAAGTAATTTGGAGAAATCTGAAAAGGTAAAATTAATTTCAAAGTTGAATGTAAAATCATGCATTTCAATTTACTACATATTAAAATATAACATTTAAGAAAATTATAAGCTAAAAACCCTAAATTCTTTAGCTTGCTTACATTTGATGAAAATTGAAAATGGTAGAGTGAAATATAAAGTCATTACAAAGGAGTTTGTTGAAGGTTATACTTTGGTGGCAGCATTAGTACTTAAGGACATTATCTTTAGAATTTATTTATCTCCTAATTATTTTTCATGTTCACTGTACTTTTGTGATTTGTTTTAAATATATAAGAAAATTAGTTTCTAATGTATTTTGATTATATGTTAAATACTTTTGCACTTCTGTTCCCTAGTAGAACCTGAGAGGCCCATCATGAGGCACACAATGACTGAGTTATATGAACATGAGTTATATATAATGAGATAAAATAAATAAAACAGATAGTTGGTATAACTCTGACTCATAGAAAAGTAGAAATTATACAGTCCAGATCAGATCTAAACAGATTAATAAAGCCGCACAAAATGGCATGCCCTGGTGTGTCAGACTATCATGTCCTTCCTTCTGTAGCACATGCTGCTTTTCAACTCTCATCTACAGCCTAATTAGAAGTTCACTAAAGCTAACTGGCAGATAAGTAAAGAAGCTGAGCCTAAGTCACAAATGGCCCAGCACCTGACATTGGCACTAGCTGAAAATGGGTTGTTGCCACATTATAGCCTCACTTTAACACAAGTCCTGAAGAACAGTTGAGGTAAACTGTCATAATAGTCAGAGTTTTGAATGGTATCTTTAGTTTTTAAAGAAATGATGAATAACCTGAAAACGATAAATTCCTGGCCAGTTCTCAGAATATGTAGATATTTATGTCAGTGTTAATGCTCAGCAGTCACCATCAATTGCAGAGACAGTTCTCAACAATCATATTTTCAGGGTAAATTTCCTCGTATGTATCACATCTGTCTTCTGCCCCCCCCCAGGGTTTGCACAATTGGCTCATGGATGAAATTAGCCCTGTGACAGGGATAGGGGATATGTATGGGCCCAGAAGCATAAGTTTTATTTGACCAAGGCTAATCTATCTACAAGCATTGCAGAATACACAACCTGCCAAGAGCAGAGACTGGCACTGAGTCCTTAATATTGCCCCATGCTTCAAGATGACACAGTTAAGCAACTGCTTGCAGGTATATTAAACAAGTTCCCCTAGGAAAAGTGTCTAGCCAGAATCCAGGTATTCTCCAGACAGAAGTGTGTTTGCCATACAAGTGATCAAGAATGCTTGATTTAATCCTAAAATATCCTATACAACATTGTCTCTGGCCAAAAGACACATTTTATAGTGAAGTTAATAAGACAGTATGTGCATAACAATGGAATCCAATTTTCTTACCATGTATTTTAGGTATGCAACAGAATAACAATGGTAGAATGTTCTGGTAAACACTCAGTTAAGGTGCTAGTGCAGCGACATCAGCCTGTGGATCAAGTGCCGTTGCCTAAGCTATAGAATATGCACTTGAGCAAAAGTTGTTGAGATTTTGAGGGTGATTCTTTGAGCTTTATGCTCCATTGAGCTCTAGTAGGAATTCTATCAGTATTTGCATCTTGTTGCCTGAAGGCTTCCTCCAAAGCTAGGTACAATGCAGAGGGATAGTACCTATGAATTAACACTCACCCCTGCAAGCAGCCTCAATTATTGATAGGAAATTTGGTATGATAACATCCCAGTTTGCTTGCCCCTTGTGTGGTGTATTCCAAGTGTTTTCTTGTTGGGATTAAGTTCAATTATCCACTAAAATAGACGCCTTGCTAATGTACCCTTTGTAGCCTGCCTTATTTTTCTGACTCAACTCATCACTCCCTTACCAATATATACATCATTTCTCAAATGACATATTGATACTTGACACTGGTCTCAAGCTAAGACCTGGACAAAATCTATGGCTGACATCTGGTAGTACATAGGGAAACCATGGAAGGTATTCTTTTGGGTAGATATTTTGGCTCCTAGGAGATAACTCTTTTGCCAGAGGAAATGTAGATGCTCAATTATTACCTGGTCAATTTAGGTCCTTAAATCAATGGATTGCTAAGTAAAAAAAATAAGGTAATATTCTGGTGGAATAATCAACTCTGAAGACATAATTGTGCTGCTACACAATGGGGAACTATGAGTGGATCTTAGGGTATTCACTAAGATATCTTTTTGGTTCAATGTCCAGTGATAACGACAAGCAGGCAAATGGCAGCATCTACAACCTAATAAGGACCAATTAAAGATGTAAGCTCCCTGGGCTCCAAAGATTTGATACACTCTGAGCAGAAGAAAAAAAAAATCAAATGAAATCAAGCAAAATTGCACACTCTGCAGCTTAGGTTTCAGGAAAATCTAGACTGGGCAGTGGAGTAAGAAACTGATGAATAGGATGAATATCATCATTAACTACCAAACAGTGAAGAATATAGTTTACTAACACTCTGACCTAAATCATTCTAACCTTGAAGTATACTCTGTGACTGCTTAGGTTTATAAAAGCCTTCTCAAGGAAGAAAAGAAACCATTTTATTTTCAGATATGTAGAGGTCTCAAAAAACAACATACATGGAGGGTATAATATGAGATGTTCAAGTAACACTTCATATGCACACTCTGCAACTCTTACCTCCCATCTTGGTACTTTATTTTTGATGCCAAAACATGACATGCTGCAGGACTCACTTGTTGACCATACACACACAACTTAGAAATACAGAAAAGTTAATTTACTACCAGGAAAACCTTGACAAAAGGGATAATTGGGATTATCTTCCAAAATTTTCCTTACAAAATCTTTCCAAGATTTTCCTAGGGGAAAATTCTTCCCCTAGGAAAATCTTCCCTCAGATGCAAGCCTAACAGTCTCTCTAAAAAGGTGAAATTAAAGAGGCAGCATCAACTGATACAAAGTAGCGACCAGTTTATAACATATCCTCATATGGCTCTTTTTCTTCCTGCCTCATTTCCTCTTTCCTCATTCTTACTCCCCTGGGATTGCACTGCTTAACAATTAAGTCGCCCATAAACTTTTGCCTAAAACTATTTTCTGGGGAATTTAGACTAAGACAGAAAGCAACTTATCTCTAACATTTTTCTAATCCTTTGGTAAACCATAAGTGATTTAATAAATTTAATTAGAGCAAACCTTCCATTATTAATAAGAATCTTACCCTTATTTCTTTTTCTAAATAATATAGTTGTGTGAGACATAAAGACTTAAAGTGAGACACTTTAAGCACTAATAATTTTCTTAAATTTTTAATTATGTTTATCTGTGAGAGAAAGACTAAATATCACTGTCATCTTAAGGAATGAAAAAAGAAAAAAAGGGAGGAACTGAAGGCACACATGACTTTGGGAAAAGTTGATCTCTCAGCAAATTTTTAATTAGTTATGAAACTCATTTATATATTCATGCACATACTAGGCTTACTAAAAAATAAAAAGGTATATCTACACTATATCTTCAATTTCTTAAGTATACAAAAATAAATACATATTAACATAAGAATGAGATGAATGGAATTTTATACCTTACTATTTTAATAGTTTCATCACTTCATTGAATGGGTAAGAAATAAGTTCAAATTAATTCCTTAACTCCTAAATATTCTATGACATGCATGTCACATTTATTAATTTAAATTGATATTAGTAGAGTGCAACTAAATTATGAAATCATTAAAACTTAGCACCCAACACCAACCTACCTGCCCTTAGTTAGTTGTGTAATCTTGAGCAAGTTACTTAAACTATAAGACTCAGATTATTGATTTTCAGAATGATAAGAATAATAGCTAGAGTACAAGGTTGTGGTGGTATTAAATGTATAACATATAAATCACCTAGCACAGTATTTGTTGCATATAGGATAATCAATATTTCACTTTCTTTAGCTACTTTATCAACGACTGTTTTCTCAGGTGCCACCAACACTTTAACTATCAATTCCCTTTTATTGCAACTACCACTAAATCTTTCTCTACCAACATAAAGTCAATTTAGAAATGAATTTCTAATATCACCCTTGTATATATAGTTTATCCTAAACAAATGTTGATATTGCTAAGCTTTTCTAACAATAAGTCTGCATCATTTAGAGTGAGCTTATAACAAAATATACATTGCTATTTTTTCATACCTTGAAATTTTCTAGAATTTCTTCAGTGTGTCCATATGCATGGAATGCCAATTATGAGGTAGAAGTCTGTGACATTTAGATGTTATGTCATTTCTATTTTTGCTTTTTAATGCTAACTACTACTTTAATTTTCTCCCATTATCTCTACGTGAATTCAAACCCTCTTCTATCTTTTCAAATCCAATGAAATACTGGATAAAATATAATGAAAATATTTTACAGTATATATACAAGTTCACAAGTAAGAAAGAAAAATCCCAGGTGCCAGAAATGAAGAAAAAAACTCAAATGCAGAGTATTTAAACGTTATGAAATTCAAACAGTGCACATAGGTATTAGACTCACTGCTAAAAACTGAGATTCTTACACCAATATCGTGTTTGTGAGAAGGTGAAAATGAACTCCTCATGCGTCAAGCGCCAGGACGGGCCCCTTGCTGCCTCCCCACCACTCCGCATCCCCCAGGGATGGTGCTGTGTGGGCCCAGTGGGCCCATGTCTGCTGTCCGCCCCTGCCTACCCATGTCCACTGTGGGTCCTCTGCCCGATGCTCTGCTGCCTGCCTCCTGTCATTCGGCCATGCTGATTGGGTAATTTTTGAATCCTGTTGCTAACTGGATGTTAAAAAAGCTTGTTGCTGATTGGATATTAAAGCTTGTAGTTGATTGGATGCTTTTTGAGCCCTACCAAGGGTATAAAAGCAAGAGGAGACCAAGGAAGGGGGGAGTCAGAAGATCTGAAGCCCCCAAGAAGAGCTGTAATACTTGCTGGGTTGAGCCTTCCGGAAGAATAAAGATGGTTCTCTGAATCTTCATGTGCTGCTGGGTTCTTTCCTAGCCAAGAGCTGTAACACTAGCTGTACACTTGCCCCAAGACTCCCATCAAAAACTCAGGAGTCTTGAAGAGTTGAGGGATTTAGAACTGGAGCAGGTTGACCTCCTTGGGCCAAAGACAGGAAAAGTCACACTTGGAATACTTTGGAAACATAGAATTGGTCTTTGTACAGTGAGTGACCTGAATTCACCCCACTCACATTGTGTGGGAACTAGTAGCTGAAAAATTAAGAAAAATTTCTGCTATCCCTAGAACTCAACTAAATGTGAAATTTCACCATGAAGAGGCTCCACAAACATGTATAGATAGGATTGTCATAGATTTTAAAAAAATCTTTCTCACCATATGCTCACAGTTTAATTTTTTTTTTTTTAAGAGACAGAGTTTTGCTTTGTCACCCAGGCTCAAGTGTAGTGGCCACTCAGATCATAGCTCACTGTAACCTTGAATTCCTGGCCTCAAGCAATCCTTCTGCCTCAGCCTCCCAAATAGCTGGGACTACAGGTGTGCACCAACACATTTGTTTAATTTTTTGTAATTTTCTGTAGAGACAAGGTCTTGCCATGCCACTTAGGTTGGTCTCGAACTCCTGGCTTCAAGTGATTCTCCTACCTCGGCCTCCCAAAGTGCTGGTATTACAAGTGGGAGTCATCATCCCTGGCCCTACAGTTTTATTCCTGAAACATGTAAAAAAGGAAGCAGCCATAGACATATGATTAAGGTATAGGAAATTGTAAATTTGAAAAACAAATTATAGGAAATTATATCCGAGACAAAACTAAAATAAAACTAGTGTAATATTATTTCTGTTAGACAAAAGAGTTTTTAGACAGAAAATACCATTGGTTAAAGAGGGTTTTTACTTTATTAAAAAGGAAAAAAATCCAAAGAAAATATAACAATTATGAATATTTATATATTTAACAATATATTCTCAAAATCCATAAAAAGTCCCTAGACAGAATTAGAACATTTGCAGTCTTGGTTCAACTTTTATAGAGCTTCTGTGGAAACTGATAGAGCATACACAATAAAACAAGCAATATTTGAGCCATACAATTAAAAAAATTATATAGTGGAATTTATGCAATATTAGAAATTTGTATAGCTGTAGACTGACATTTTCATTCTTGACTCCTGTAACTAGAGAAACCCTTGAGCATGTGTTAATGGAAGCATGTGTATGTAACGTGTTCATTAAATCATTGTTTAAAATTACCAAGAAAGTATCCTTAAATAAAGTAATGATATATAAATTATAATGCACTGATATAGTAGAAAGCATACAGAACTTAAAATGAATAAATTAGTTCTACTTTTGCCAACATGGCTGATTCTCAAAAACATAACAAGAGTTAAGATAAGCTTTTAAAAATATACATCTCCTTTAATTCCATTTAAAACATAAGCTCAATTTAGAAGAGATATTGTTTATAGCTACAGGCATATATAGTATACTCACAAAAGCATGAATAGAGTGGGAACTCCTCATCTTGAACATATTGCCTCTGAAGAGGAAAGGAAGAGAATGGGATGCAAGAGGACTGAAAGGGTAAAACAGTAGTAGTAGTAGTAATAGCAGTATTTTAAAATCTTAATCACATAGGTTAAAATGTTAACATTTGTTGAATCTGGATAGTAAGTGGATGTCTATATTATTCTTTATACTTGTCTCTAAATTATTTCAAAATTTTTCAAAATAAAAAGTTGAACTGAATCAGGGAATTCAATGCACTCCTGCCACATGCCCTTTTCTGCTTTGCTTAATGTATTAACTATGAAGTGATTAGTTCCCAATCATTCTTCTGCTTATTCATTGCTTTATTCAATGAGCACTTACTCTGGTGCCAGGCACTGTACTAAATGCTGGTTTATAGAGCAATAAATAAATGACAAGGTGAGTCCCTTTCTCCATAAATTTCTGAAACAGAGAAAACAGATAGGTAATTGAAAAAGTACAGTGAAGTGAGATGACTGTTATGAGAGAAATGCAGTGTAGAATGAAAGTGCATAGCAAGCAGCCGAACCTCCCTAGGGAGAATTTTTAGTTGGCACTTAAAAGAATGAAAGAGACTTAGAAAGAAAATGCTTAGAAGCTAGATTGTCTGGGAAACAAAGTAAGGTAGCAAAGTAAGTAGCAAAGTAATTGTTCTAGCGACATAGAGGGTCCTAACACAAGAGAAACTAGCACAGTGAGGACCTGAAAGTAGTTTAGCACTACTAAAGTATAACTAAGTTTGAAGAGAACAATCAGATCAGATCAAATCAAATCAGCAGTTCTAGACATCTTGGAGAGCCTTATGTGAGTGATAGGAATCCATGGTGGAGCTTTTAAAGAAGGGAGATATATTATTACAGTTTTTTTAAAAAAAGTATAATGTGGATAATTAATATGGGAGAAGAATCTGTTTTGAGACAGGTAGACTGGCTATTGCCTAGGAAACAGATCTTGATACTTCCTAACAGGAAACAAATCAGAAAGGAGAGAATACTTTTTTCATAAATACATAAGATATATAACTGAGGGGACTTGATAATTGAATAATGATGAGGTTATGGAGAGCAAGGTATTACTAACGAAACCTAAAAGCATGGATTAGGAAATTGGGTGGTCAGAGGTGCCTTTTATCAAGGGAGGGGACACTGCAAAGGAGCAGTTTGATGAGAAAGAGACAGATTTAGTAGGGACATTCTGAGGTTTAGTTGCACATGAATTGTTGAGATGGAGTTATCTAATACAGAGTCATAAAGATGCATCTAACACTGAGGAGAGAATTCTTGCCTGCTGGCCTATTAGATTATGGCAGTCTTTACTGATATGGGTATAGGTTGGTAATAAATAGAGACATAGTCATGAATGCTGCGTAATACCAATATTTAAGAAGTCTTGGCAAAATCAGTTTTCATGGAATTCTGGTAGGGAATCTACACTATATTGGGATAAAAGGAGAAGGAGATACAGCAGAGTAGGCTAAAATATTTTAGAAATTTATGATAGTACAGAGAAAATCAGGTAGTTGGAGTGTGCATGAAATAAAATAATTTTTAGCAATTTGTATAGATTTAAATGCTGATGCCAATAAAACCACTCAGGAACTTTCTTCTTTGCATCAAATACATGCCCAAGGGCCTCTGCAAGAACTGGGCCCTCTATACAGAATTTTTTTCTACCGGATATCCTTGTGAGCAAGGCTCATCCCTATTTTAATCTTAGCTTAAACATTACCTCCTTAGAGAGGCTTTTCCTAAATTTCAAACTTAATGTTCTGTTGCCCTGCCCCCCAAAACTCGGTTCATCCTCACATCTTATTACATCATTATATTTCACTTTAATCAAGTTTATCTTTCACTACCTATAACCTTGTTTGGTTATTTGATTGTTTACTTTCTTCAAGTAGTTATAAATTAAATAAATTGATTTTTAAATGCCATTTCATCTTTGCCTTCCTGGAATAAATTCAAAATTACATTATAATAATATATTTATAGATACTGCTTAATTTAATTTGTTAATATTTTGTTGATGATTTACATTTAGATTCTTGAGAAATGTCTTCCTTCCGTTTAATTTATAAAATCCTTGTCAGGTTTTGATACAAAGATTTATGTAGATTTTATAAAATGGCAGAAAGTATTTATTATTATATTATCTGGAAGAATTTGTGTGGGATTAATGATATTTATTCCTTAAATGTTTGGAAGTTATCACTGGTGAAACCATCTGGTGTTTTCTTTGTAGAATAATCATTAAGTATTTAACAAATGGCTTTAATATAATAAGACATAGATTTTTCCAATTATTCTTGTATCAGTTTTGGTGAACTGTGTATACCTATAAATTTGTCCTTAATATAAATTTTAATTTTATTGTCATAAGATTCTCTAAATCTCTTATTATCTTTTTGATGCCTGCATGTTAGAGATGTTGCCGTTTTTTACTTCTTGGTATTGATTGCTCTGCGTTCTTTCTTGTGCTCTTTCTTAGTATTTACAGATGTTTTCAAATGTTTCAAATGTTTCTTCTCAAATTCCAGATTTGCTTTTCAAAATCTACTCTGTTGTACTATTTTTCTCTATCACTTGTTGCTGTTCTTACCTTTATTATTCCTGAGTTTAATTTGCCAAATTTTAAAAATTTCTGTAAAAATCAGTTCTTATTTGTATCTTCTTTTTTTTATTTCAGCATATTATGGGGTATAAACATTAAGGTTACATATATTGCCCATGCCCCCCCTGCCCCCTCGAGTCAGAGCTTCAAGCATGACCATTCCCCAAACATTGCACATCTCATTCATTGTGTTTGTATATACCCATCTCCTCCTTCCCCCTCCCACCCTCCCAACACCCGATAAATGTTATTTCTATATGTCCACTTAGATGTTGATCCATTAATACCAATTTGCTGGTGAGTACATGTGGTGCTGGTTTTTCCATTCTTGAGATACTTCACTTAGTAGAATGGGTTCCAGCTCTATCCAGGAAAATACAAGAGGTCCTATATCACCATTGTTTCTTAAAGCTGAATAGTACTCCATGGTATACAGATACCACATTTTATTAATCCACTCATGAATGGATGGACACTCAGGTTGTTTCCACAACTTTGCAATTGTGAATTGTGCTGCTATAGACATTCGAGTGCAGGTGTCTTTTTCATAAAGTGACTTTTGATCTTTTGGGTAGATGCCCAGTAGTAGAATTGCTGGATCAAATGGTAGATTACTTGTATCACTTTAAGATATCCCCATATTGCTTTCCACAGAGGTTGAACTAGTTTGCAGTCCCACCAGCAGTGTAGGAGTGCTCCAACAGACCAATATCAAGTACTGAAATTGAAACAGCAATAAAAAACCTTCCTAAAAAGAAAAGTCCTGGACCAGATGGTTTCACACCCAAATTTTACTACACTTACAAAGAAGAACTGGTGCATATCCTGCAGAAATTATCCCACAACATCGAGAAGGATGGATCCTCCCTAACACATTTTATGAAGCGAACATAACCCCGATACCAAAACCAGGAAAGGATGCAACAAGAAAGCTACAGACCAACCTCCCTTATGAATATAGATGCAAAAATTCTCAACAAAATCCTAGCCAATCGAATCCAGGTGCTTGTCAAGAAAATAATCCATCACAACCAAGTGGGCTTCATCCCAGGGATGTAGGGATGGTTCAAAATAAACAAATCTATAAATGTAATTCACCATATAAACAGAAGCAAAAACAAAGACCATATGATACTCTCAATATTTATATCTTCTTTCCATATGCAGTTAATGTAAATATTTCACTTTTAGAAAAACTTTACATCCCACATGTTTTTATATGTCCTATTTTCATTACCATTTACTTCAAAATATTTTCTAATTTCCATTACAAATTTATGAATTAATAAGATATGCAGAGTTTAATGTTCAAATATTTGTATACTTTCAGTTATTTTTGTTATTAAATTCTAGTTTAGTTCTCCACGCATTCAAAGAACATCTCCATATGATTTTCATCACTTAATATTTTTTTAATTTATTTTTTATATTTGTTGATTTTTAATGGTCCCAGTTTGCCATTGAATAAGAGAAGAATGCTGCAAAATCTGTTTTCTAACAGAGTTGATTTTCCACCTACAGCAAAAAACATTGAAGTGTGAACCAAGTAACAAGGTTTATTTTATATATACAATAAAAGTATATCGCCAGCCCAGGGATGAATAGCTTTGGCATAATAAAGTGGCTAAATGTGAAAATAACATAGCAAAGAACCCTGACTCTCTATATAATTGTTTCTTCTCAGTCATCCACCTGTGAGGATGAGCACTCCCGGCAGCATTAAGTCCCAAATGTGCCCATCTTCTTGCCTGCATTATGTCTGGGGCTAATTTCAGCATGATCTACATATTATTTGCTTTTACTTCTAAACTTCTTTCTACTTGTTTTTCTAGTTTATTTAGAAAAGAATTCCTACAGCCTGAATTAGTGAAGAGAATTAAGGTGGGGTGGGGGACAAATATCGAATTTTAGCTAACCTATTCATGGGCCAGTTGCATTGAACATCCTTGACATTGGGCTTTTCAAAAAAATAGGGATCTGCATTTGAATGCAGGAATGAACAAGTAAGAAAATCCATCAATATTCGTCTTTCTAAACTTGGTTCCTATGAGAAATATGCTTAATTTGCTTATGTTTTCCCCAAGGTAGATGTAGCTGGCGACAGATACAAGGAAGTGACCCCTCTGGAGTTGGGATTTGGCTGCTACTGACATTGATCCTTCACTTCACTTTTAAAGTAGAGGGTTCTTGAAGTGAGCTTCTTGGGAAGCTCACAGCCAATGACTGAGCCCGATACTGATACTAGGCCCTGGCAACTTCTGCAAACTTGAGATAGCTCTTTTGGGCCATCTTTATTCTGGACAATTGGTTCTACCAAGGTTTTGTTTGATCTACATGGTAGTCCGTATCACTCGCTGCCCAATTCTGTTCCTCCATGGTTATGAACTGAATTGTGTCCCTCCAAATTCAGATGTTGAAGCCTTCAGAATGCAACTATATTTAGAAAAGTTTCTTTAAAGAGGTAACTAAATTAAAATTAAGCCTTTAAAGTAGAGGCTAACCCAACATGACTGGTGTCCTTACAAGGAAAGAAGACACCAGGGATACATGTTCACAGAGAAAAGATCATGTGAGGACACACTGATAATTCAGCCTTCTGCAAACTAAGGAGTGAGGTATCTGAGTAAACCAACCCTGCTGGCACCTTGATCTTTGAGTCCAAATTTCTAGCCTCCAGAACTGTGAGAAAGTAATTTTTGTTATTTGAGAAAAGCTTTGCTTTTTTTTTTTCCATTCGCTAGAGGCTGACTACATTCCATTGCTTATGGCCATTTCCTCCAACTTCAAAACCAGCAGCACAGCATCTTAATGTTTCCCTCTAACTCTAACCCTCCTACCACTTTGCTTCACCTGTAAGTATCTCAACGTGCCTAAAGATCACATCTGCGAAGTCCCATTAGTTATATAAGGTAATGTATTGAAAGGTTCCGAAGATTAGGATCAGTGCATGGCCATCTTTGCTGGCGTATTATTTTGTCTACCACACAGGCATTATCTCTCCACTCCCCTGATAAACTATTTGCACTCCACACTATTTCTGCAGGAAGATCTAGACACGTTTTTAAAATACTATCTTTTGTTTAAATGAAAAAATTATGTTTTACAGAATAATATGTAAATGTACTTTCAGAAGTTGTATAATTTAAATACATGTTTCTAGATAAAAATCTTACTAAAATAGTAAGACCTTTTGAAATAGATACTTACATGCATCTTCAAACATTTCCATGGTCAGTAATCACTGGAGACTCTATGGTAGATAGATAAACGTCATTAAAAATTATATGCAAATTGCATGTTGAAATTGACTTTTCTAAGAAACAGAAATTCAGTAATTAAGTAGGTACTTTCCTTATTTTGCAACGTATCACTGCTCACAGTGTTTATTGTAAAATAAAATAGTGTTTTCAAATGATAAAATAAATGAAAAATATTGACTTATCCACAGAACGAGTGATAAAAAAATAATGGACACACGAGAAACCAACACTTTCTGCCCTTTCACTCACTCTGTTTCCTGTACATATTTGACATTCACCCAAAACTGTTATTTCTCACATTCTCACTGATTTCCTTTCACTAGATTACTCAGAGGGTTTGGACACTCACAAGCCATAGTGCAGGCCACAGAAAAATGGCTGCTATATCAAGGTGCTGGCAGGGCAAGAGCATTAAGTAGTCTTGCCACCATACCCAACTAGAAGGAGTTTGCTCTCATTAGCAGCCTATATATATATATTTGTATATATATTATATATATTTATATATCTGTATATATATACACACAAATTTTTTTTTATTTTGTTTTATCAGTGACCATCTTGAATGCTATTAATTATATCACATCTATAAAACAAAGAATTATCATTGATTTTTTTCAAATAACTTCATATTAATTAGTTTGCCACATATACTTATCAGATATTGCTAGTCTTAGTCTTGGGGTGATTTTCAGTGTGCTATATTCATACAAGCTTATTTTATTGCAACTACAAATAAAAATCTATTAAAGAAAAAAATATGGGAGGAATTTAAAATTGGACAAGAGGCTAGGTCAAAAGGAACCTAACCCTTCCCCCCTAATACCCTTCTTCTGCTCCCAAGTCTTCTCTTGACATGTTGCTGCTCTCCTGCCATTTCCACAGACTGCAGCCCCCTCCACAGTATAAAATATGTTGGAGCAAGTACACAGAGATTCTATTTCTTTCTGAATAACTGATGTCTCAGTCAGGATCAAGAGACAATAAGCGGGCCATCTATGCCTCTTTTAAATTAGTATCTTCTGTTAAATAGATAAAACAAGGTCTTTCATTTTTCCAGCCTATGGATAGTTTGCCTTTCAGTGATCAGTTTGATCTTACAAGTGTATCTGCAGCGTGGGAAAGAATTAGATGGGCACGTTTCCCTTATTATCTTTAGTCAAGTCTCTTAAATTGAAAATTATTAATTTCTACTCAATTTGTCATTATTGAATAATTTATCATTGTGCATGCCAATGTATGAAAAAGCATGTTCTAATTATACATGATTTTTCCTTTGGAAATATGTCCAAATTCTTTATCATAAAAATAGTGTGCAAAAAATTTTTACCTGTTGTATACATATCATTTGTCTGAAATTTTGTTTATTATTCAACAATTTCAGTAATTCACATTGCTTTTGTGAATATATCCAGGGCATTCATATATCAACTTGCCATAAATAATTTTTCACATATTTAGATATTAAGTAATGCTACAAAATAGCCTTAGATATTGAAAGTGGCTTAGATATTGAGTCTTACATATTGAAAGTGGCTAACACAAGACCCAATTTCACAGAGAAGGTCTCTTCATTGGAAAAATTTCAGTCTGAGATGTTAAAAATATAGCAAATTATCAAGGAACTGTACACTCTAATTACTCTTCATACTAACTTAATAAAGGGAAATAAATTCATATTATGGATTTCTTTACATAAGTCATCACATATTTTATTTTAACATTTTATAGAGTCATTGTATAAGCATACCTAATTTAGATATAAGCAAATTGGATTCAGAGACATTACTAAATTTCTTTTGGCCAGTATCTCTAGGTGAAAGAGTAGGAACAAATTTGGGATTACAGAGCTCACATCCTTGTGATCTCTTTTGTGCCATAGTAAAGCGATAACACATTTACGGTATGTCATTAAGCTATATGTAAGTATAATGGTATGATAATCTCTAAATGCTTGTTAAGAAATAACAGTGAAAGAAAACAGTATTGAATACCATTCTTATCTTTGACAAGGAATTGAAATCACAAGCTTAGAGGGGCAGAAATTAATGGCCTATTTAACAGTTAAGAAGCTTCCTTATCTTTTTGGTTCTTCTTAGAACATCCAGAGGTAAAGGACAAAAACATCAGCAAATGCAACAATGACAATAACAAGAAGAATAAAACCGCTACTTTATTATAAATCATGGCACGGTCTCCTAAAACTCATCAAGAAATTAGGTGACAGTTTGTTAGAAACAGGTTTAAAGAGACAGAAACCTCATGAAGCTAATCTGGAAATGCCTTGCTTTTCTGAAATGTTTTACTAAGAAATGACAGAGAGCATGCCAAAATTTATCAAACCTATCAACCCCTACCCCCTTCTGACCAGTGCAGGAACAAGTGATATTACTAAAATAAACCTGCGTTTTATCTAGTAAATTGAATTTATTTATAGGGGACACAGATGGTGTTTTTATCTCATTTTCCCATTGAATAGTATGACATTGAATGTGAAAAGAGTGTATGAAAAATGAAGCTTTGGCTAGATGGATAGTGTTGAAGAAGTGAATTTGGTTTGGGAGACTTGGCAGGATTTGGACACTTCTCACATGGCCCAGGACGAATGGATCTGGCAGGAGTTGGTGATCTGATTAAAAGCATTTTCAGCTAAAATGCGAAGAGAAGGGAGAAAGTGTAAAACTTGAAATGAAGGTATTTCATGGTTAAGAATCAAAACTGTGCAAGAATTTACTGTTCAGCAGTCAAAAATTATTCACAAAAAGTTGTGAAAAATTATATCTGTTTCAGACACTTGTGAAAATTAAAATATAAGAGTCACAAATAATAAGATAAAATTTTCTTAATTGGTTAAAACTAATTTAGTTAACATATGCACCAGAGTTTTACAGGTTTACATACACACTGGTCCATTACTACTCCAAGGGTAGAAATGGTGCAATACCTCTCCCTTGTAGAGGGAACAAAAACATTAACATATTAAGTAAACATATATGTTGAACTATATACATAAATTTTTAAAGTTCCAATATTGCAAAATATGCCATTTAAGAATCAAAGAAAGTTTTCTTGATAAAGTTACCATTTACTAATAATACTTGCTTAATAATATTAATATAATTAATTATATTAATATTATAGCATTAATATATTAATATTATAGCATTTTATATCCCTGGTCTCAATCTCATTTTCCTGGTCTCAATCTCGTTTTCCTACATATTCTGTGCAGTGTATTCGAACTTCACCTGTGCTATTTACCATTTATGTAAATAGAGATATATTTTTTACCTTCTGAGAGAAGAAGGATTATATCCAAATTGTAGCTCCAACTTTACTGAAGGACCTTGAGAAAGCTTTTCACTTTATAAGGCTCAGCATCTTTATCTGTCAAACAGGAATGGATATTCTATTTCACTACTATTGTCATGAAAATTAAACAGAAATAATTTATGTAACAAAGCACTTACCCTAACTTCTGGGATATAGATAGCACTCATTCCCAACAACTACTCCATTTTCTCACCCCAGATCAGGCTTGTCTAGAAGTCTGTGAGCTATTCTTGACTATGCCTTCTTATTCATCAAATATCTTTATTCACTGATCTTAAAATTAAATATCTGTGCCCTAAACCACATTTTCATCTTCACTCTAATGTCTGAGCTCAGGCCCATGGTTTCTATTACTTCAAAATTTGCAACAGCTTTTACTCTAGTCTACTTTAAATCCAGTCGCAAAGCACATGCAAGACCCATGACTTTCCCTGACTTCAGCAACTCCTGGATTTTTTTTTTTTTATTTGTTGGTTGGTTGTTTTTTAAACAATCAATGATACATTTAAACTTCCCATGAAACATTCAATTGTCCTTAGAGAATCACTCATCTTCCCTCTCTCAGTTCAAGTTGTTTAGTTGAGCTATCCTGCAGAACTAGTTGTGAAATTTTGAGTCAAGCTTGGGAAATTTATTCATTTCATCCTACCTCCCTCATAGATTGATTCAAGAATATGCAAGGAACCCAAGTTTAACTAATTAGAGATGATTGCTGGTCTTTTCAGAAGTGACCAGGAAACAGACAATTCTTTCTTCCTGAATTTGGGATATATATGCCTGGATTTTTTTTTTTACTGTCATTTTGCATACCTCTAAGAGCAAGCCTATCTGAGAAGGAAACCACTGGAAGAAAAGCTGAACTCAGAGATGGGTGGTCTGGACCAAGGTTCTTGGTCTTTTCAGTTATATATCTAAGGCCTCTCTATGCTTGTGGATTCCCAAAAGATATTCTGTTATTATTTATCCCCTGTATTTCTCGGTACTATTTCTTTTGCCTCAGATACTAGATCCCTCACTCAACATACGTACATGTATGCACACCCACCCACCCCCTCACACACACATAACCTTTTCCCTAACTGTTCCCTGCTCTGCTTCATTTTCATGCTGTACCTGTCCCTTTATTAGCATAGTGTATAATGATGTGCTACTGTTTCTGATTCCTACACTGGCCCATTACTACTTTGAGGGGAGGGATGGTACAATATTTATCCTGTGTCCTTAGAGCTTGACTGTATTTCATGACACAAGGTAGGCATTCAATAAACTCTTTTGAACTTCTATAAATCATGTATTCATGGAAGGAAAATTTTATGAATATGTTTCTCAAGTGTATTTTTACACAACGATAGAATTTTTAATGTAGTGTGTTTCATTCTTTGATTTAATTTCAAAAAGCTAAAAAAGAAGGCATGTAATTACTGTCTTGCAAAATAGTTCACATGAAGGAAAAGCAACAGCTAATATTTATGGAGCATTTACTATGTATTGGATCCTATGTTACCAGCCTTTCATTTAATTCTTTAAATAAACTTATGATCATAGATATAATATTAAATATTTGTTGCTGAACAAAGACATTGACTTTTGGAAAAGTAAATGAAATAGATATCACACAGTTAATTAGAAGCAGAAGTAAAGTTGGAACTCAGGCACCCTAACTCTAACATTTATGTATTGAACAATTATACTATCATGAATTGTGCAAATACTATTGAGCTTTAAGTAGTATATTCTTGAGACAGGTTTTTTATTTATGAATAAATTTAATATGATTGATAGGGTTTTAATTAAATCCCATTCTATCAACTTTCCAATTGCACTGGATGTCAAATCAGTTATCACATTTCTCTGTGCCTGGAAGGCACTGTAACCAATAGTAGTGTCTGTTGAAGCCCCCTACACCCAAAAGTGTTTTGATCCTCCACTTAGGTTTTTTTTCCCTAGGTAAAGAAATGTATCAATATATTTCTCTGTGTGTCCATTCCAAATTTCTTTGGAAGAGTCAATTAAATTAGGATTTTACATATATAAACTAAGTAAAATTAAAGGCATTAGTAAAGTTTATTTTTTTCTAAACAATGACAGTAACACAAACAATGAAATGCTAACATTTGGGGAAAAAATTAATGCATCTATATTGGAAGCATGAGAAATTAGTAACAGACAAATAATTACTGTGTTTAGGATATCATACTTATACTTTAAGGTGATATAGTGCCTCCTACTTGGGTCAAGTATCTTAAGAATAAAGCTTATGAATCTACCCTTAACTATAAGCCTATTAGTAGCCAAAAAATTGCAATAAATTTTAACCAGGTACCTATCTATTTATTAGTTTTCTCTTTCATGCAGTTTGAATGTAAAATATGCATATTTTGGAACATTATAACAAAGACAGCTCTTAGTTATTTCAAGCAAAAGAGATGAAGAATAACAATGATATAAGAATTCAAGGAAATAGTCTACAAAACTGAAATGTAAGATTTTAGAAATTTGGAAATATGTAGGCAATAATAAACTGAGCATAATATAAACAATAAAATCATTCAAAGGATATCAAATGCACCAAACGTTTTTAAGAGAAGTAAAGATCGAGGTCAAATGTGCTAAGAGTCCTTTCAACTGGAATTAATGACCCTCTCGGATAGACCTTAAGAACATTGATCATCTCTTATTCACCTTTGAATCTCCAGCATTTTACTAGCAAAAGAACAAAAGAGTGAGCTCAGTAGTTGTGTAGAAAAGCCACAGAATCAAAGAAATTAAAAAAAAAATTATTTCTCTATTAGTCATTTAGATACATTTATCATAATAATCATAGTTTTATGATAAATTCAGTTGATGTTTTTAGAGTTTCTGTTATAACTGAGCCTGCCATATTCAAGATTTGGCAACTGTTAAAAGATTTACTGTTGATGTTAAGCAGAGAAAAAACAACAACAAAAAACAATAATGGTTAAAAATTGCAGCTAAAATATTGAACTGTTTATTTCACTTGTTTATTATTTTTAGCATCCCAAAATCAAAAAGATATTTTCTCTATGCTTTAAACATATTGAAGTACATTCATTTATTTATGCACTTATATTTATTCAGGAGTCTTTTATTTCTTTTACTGTACAATATTTGACTGCTAAAGTGATTATAAATACAAACAGATATTAGAGTAGTTTTTCCTTTGTAATTCAAGTAGCTGAATAGTTTGCTTAATTAATTATTCATGTCAATGTAATTGAGCATGAATGTGAAACTAAAAAGAAATATGAATAAAACTGTATTGTTAACTAACTCATGAGCAAAAGGTTCAGGCCCCACCAAATCATACTCTGTACAGTAAATTAACTCTCAGTCAGTAAAACTTCTTCAAATGGAAAGGGAAATGATAGATTGTTTTAAGCATGTACATGAGTGCAGAGACTTCTCATAAAATATCTTGACCCAGTAACATTCAAAAACCTGCTGATCTCAATTGAGCAGAAAGATAGCCAAATTTAAAATTCATTCAGAAGATGATTGAGTCTCATTTCTGTCATAGACTCATGATACAAGAAGTCTCCTAGCTTTTATACATATTAGAAGAACCTCTTATGAGCAAGTGCAATAAATCCAAAGGCATCAGAATTACTTAAATGCAGTTAATTATAGAGCATTATTAACTTAGAAGAGAGACTTGCTTTCTGAACCTATATGACCCCATGGTAAATTGGAAGTAATAAATTACTTTCTGGATACATAAAATGAAAAAAAAAAAAAAAACCTATGACAATATAAAATCTAGAAAACCTTATATAATTAAGAACTAATTTAAAATTGCATATGAATATTAGACTTAAAGATTTTATTTATAATAAATAGGAATTGAAGGAATGAAATCAATTATTTTGAGTTTCACAGACTCTAAATAATTTCAAGCAAACATTAACATTTGAGGTGATTTTGAAGAGGGGCTAGTCTTTTACAAAACACATAGCACTAACCAGGAAAGCTATAACTTTCAGCACTAATGGTTTTTCAATTAACCATAGTAAAAGGCAGATGAAACTATATGAATGTGCTTTTACTCAATTTTCTCAATCTTTTGTGTCTTTTTATGACTCACTTAATAATATATTGTCTAAAGTCCTACTTGTCGTGTGAATTTATGCTATTTCCATGTCTAAATAGACTCATAGCAATTATGTTTAATTGACCAAATAGATAATTAGGTAACTCTCCAAGTTAGATTATTTGAAACATCTCTCAAGAGCTAGTAATCAAAGTAACTCAAGTTGGAGTGTAAACATGGCAGGCTCTTTGTTTTCCTCAGCTTCTTAAATGACTGCCTTTTTTTAAAGAGATAAAATATGCAGACCTCTATATTCTATGTTCTGGTTCCTGTGAAGATGGTGCCAAGCTACCACAGACTACTGGCTTCTTCCCTCAAAATCAATACTGAAGAGAAGCTAGAAGCAAGAGGGGGAAAACTCTGAATTCCAGGAACTCAGGCAGCATCCAAAAACTTGACAAATCTTTGGGGACATAAAAGACTGCTTTGAATTAATATATGTGTGGAAATTGAGTTGCCACAGCTCAGATGAGAGAGATTTCAGAGGCAGATGTAACAGAATGGATTTGAGGAAAACTTTTTAAAATGTTTTTCTTGCCTCTCCCCCATGTTCTCTCTTCTCTGACCAGTATTGCTAGTTTTCTCCAGGTAGTATCAGTGTAGCACAAAATCTGTGCTTCAGTGACAGGGTGAAGACAGCTTTTAATGACCAGTGTCCCTCAGGCATTGCCTGTCATCACTACTTGTGTAAGACTGCAGGGCTGTTGGAATATATATTTTGGGTGCAGCCTCACTTCCTTGCTGCTGTGTCTCAGTGTTTACGTGTTAAACCAAGCCTAGGATGTTGTCCTCACCCATGTCGTCCAGGATGGCTTCCCTCCTTATAATTGTCCCACACACAGGGAGGAGAAAGGATCATCTTTTCCCTTGAAAGCACATTAGAGGCCGCGCTGGGTGGCTCACGCCTGTAATCCTAGCACTCTGGGAGGCTGAGGCG